TGCCGGCTGCTCCGCAGGGCGCAGAAACCTGTGTGGGTTTAGGGTTGGCTTGCTGATCTTAAAGGTCTTTTCCAGCCTAAATGAATCTATGACTCTGTGATTCTATGGCTGGTAGTTGCAGCTGGTTATTCGGTAAGCCCAGCACCTCTCCTTGGGTTTTAAGAAACATGGGAAAGTAACAGGAAAGGCCCCAATTGTGGTCCCAGTGAAGCTTGGGTCAGTTGGCTTTCTGAATTTAAAAAGCCTTTTATTTTGTCTGTTTAGTGCAATAGGGTCATGGGCAACTTTTTGGAGCATATGGAAAACTGGCATTTAGTTTGGATTCCTGATGAAATCTAAACATTAGCTGATGCCAGTGGTATCATTCAGTGTCAAGGAGACTGGAGGAAGGAGATGGGGAAGGGATGGGTTTGTCCAAACAACCGGGAAACCCTTTTTATTTCAGATTTACTTGAATTGGCAGTGTTGGTGAATGAGCTTCAGTGTTGATTCATGCCCTGAAAATGCTTGTGAGTGCTGCAGATCACAGGGAGCATGACAGGGGAGACCGCTGCATGGAGCAAACCCTCTTCTGCTGCAGTGTTAGCGAGGAGCAGGAGGAGCAGGAGGTGAGTGCCAAGCTGTGCTCTCCTCTGCTCTGGGTGACTCTGTGCATGTTGGTGGTGATGGTTGAAAGAAAATACTGTATTTAATACTGAACCAGGAATAGCCCTGAAAACTTTCAAAGGCAAATGTGCAAAGGCCGTGTGCTGAACCTGAGAAGCCAGGTTTGTCTTTATTCCTCTGATTTACCAAAATCCGGTTCCTGTTCCCACATCTAGTGAAGGACTGAAAGGGGATGCAGGGGCAGAAGTTGGTTGCCTCATTTGCCTCCCATGCAGCCCTCTCAGTAGCCACAAATTCATCCTGTGATAGGAAAGCCCCAGCTGATGCGGAGGTGATGCCACCACCACTTATCCAGCTCCTTCCCTAGAGGAGAGAGGAGCAGGGCAAGGCCAGAGCAGTACCGTGCTCCAGCAGCTGAGTCAATGGAAGCCCCTCAGGCACTGTTTTTGGACTGTGTGGAGGTGCTCACATGGCGTGAGCCCTGGCCAGCTCTGGCTTCAGTTGGGAGAACATAAACACGAAGCAAAACCCTTTTTGCCTCTCCCTCGTGAGCTGGGAAGTAGCTCAGGTGCGGGTGGGAACGTGTAAATCCGAGTTGTCAAAGAAACCTGAATGACCTTCCAGTAAATCAGTGAAACCGGGAAGGTTTTGGGAAAGAAGGATGGCTGGTGGGGCTTGGCCGTGTGCCGTGGGGAGCCAGCCAGCTCTGCCATCCATGCTGGCACGCAACAAGCCTGCTTCCACTTGTTGCCAATATCCGAAAAACAAGTGGTGGGGCCAGCCAGCATCAAAAGCCACTCCATTTCCTCCTCCACTTATTTAATTATTAAAGACGAATAAGAACCAGCTCGTACATAAAAAGCAACAAAGAAAAACAAAATACTTAAGAACTGGCAGCCAGGCGCAGCAATAAGTCATGGCACCAGCCTCTGAAACGTCCCCGGTTGTATAAATAGGATCCTCCATGGGAATCTCCAGGATAAATCCCTTATGTCGAACCACAGCACGCCATGCTGGAAGAGGAAGAGCATTGTGTGCTGTGACACGAGAAAAATGACATTTAGAAAGAATCATTAAACAAAACAGTCACAGCACACACAGTTTATCTAAGAGCACTTGCGCCAGAGCCTTCACCCATCCTATGGACAACCACTGCCCATGGATGGGAATTCAGCAAGCCTTGGCAGACCTATGGCAAAGGCTGTTTGCTGTACTGGTAATAATAATGAGTCTAAACACCAGTCTGACCCATCAAAATTTTGGCTGCATCTAGATTTTGTGGGCTTTATGGGATTTGTTACCAATGTAACTCCTGAAGAAAGTCAACGGGCAGCAACCAGGACATTCAGCTTCTCAACTTCAGCAGGCTGATTGGAGACCTCATTCCAGTACCTCCAAGACTTTGCTACAGCTGGGAATTTGGTACCGTGTTTGATGTGGAAGAGCCCCCCAGAACTGCTCCCCATGTCTCTGTGGAGGGTTACTGGCTGAATGGTCCATGACCAACTCTATGCCTGCTGCACACACCAGTGGTGATGCCACTGTGGCAGTGCTCTGGGGCATCAGCAGGGCTTTAAATGCTACAGTATGCAAATATACAGAAAACAACTTGATGCCCCAGCCACCAAGTGAGCAACCAACCAAATCCAGTGCCCAGGCACTGCAGAATGAAAGACAAGACAAAGCAAAATAAAATAGGAAAGTGTGTAGAGACAGGACAATGGCTTTAACCTGCCAGAGGGGAGACTGAGATGAGCTCTTAGGCAGAAACTCTTCCCTGTGAGGGTGCTGAGGCGCTGGCACAGGGTGCCCAGAGAAGCTGTGGCTGCCCCATCCCTGGCAGTGCTCAAGGCCAGGTTGGACACAGGGGCTTGGAGCAAGCTGCTCTAGTGGAAGGGGTCCCTGGCCATGGCAGGGGTTGAAGCTGGAGGAGCTTTAAGGTCTTTTCCAACCCAAACCATGCTCTGATTCTATGCATTTAGGGAAAGCCGGTGTGCATAGGAAGCTTTGTCCACAGTGGAGGTCCCAGCGGTCCCAGTGTGTTGTCCCACGGCAGTGGTTGGGAATTGTTATCAGGCCACTAGGAAAGAGGAAAAAAAAAAAAAGCAGAAAAAGGAAAAAAAAAAAAAAGGAATCTTTAAAACCATGCTCAACATGTACAGCTGCTGGAACATCTGTGCCGAACATGATGACACAAGCTGCAATCGTGGCAGTTGGGGAGGGGGAGGCAATAAGGAGAGGTGAGGGAAGAGGGTAAATGCAATCCCTGAGTGGATGGTCCCACGTGGGCTCTGCCTCAAGAGCCCCATGCCGCAGCCTTGGGGTGCTCCCACCTTTGGGTGCCTCAGCACCTCTGCCTGCAGTGGGGGAAAGCTCTTTAAATCCCACCGCATTTCACCTCTGTGCCACTTGCCCTTGCCTTTGAATAGCTAGAACTGCCCTGGGGTGACAGAGGCAGATCCTTCACCTCCCGGTGCGGGCTCTACCATCACTTATTTAACTCAGGGTGATTAAGGGAGTTGAGAGTTTGGTGAGACATTTTCCAGGAAATCTGTTAGATTTTTAA